TTAACTGAAACATTTTCCAGAAAGAAAATTTTTTTCAGCTATGATTTCTTTATATCTGGTAATAGAACCAATAGCTTAAAAAGTGTGATAACTTTTTGTTGAATAAGTATAGTAATATCAAATTGGTGAGAACGATTCCAAATCAGTCACTTTTACTCATTTCTGTATTCTCAAAAGGTATGTATTCATTTCAGTTATATAAAATTAACTAAATTTCAATGGGTAAAATTCAATAACTTTCCAATGACAACTGTCATAATATCTAATTTCTTAAAACCACTGTATTTTAACATTTGTCAGTTTGAAAAAATCATATATAATAATATAATCCTGTTGTTACTTAAAATGCATTGAATTCTGGCATCGTTCTCCATAGGGAATACACCTATTTTTTCATATCCTTGATTTAAGTTTTATAAACTCAATTTTGCTCCAAGAGAATACATCCTTGAGAATATTTAGCCTGCTTCCAATTGCTCCAGAACAACAATGGCAATATCTTAAATTCTCTCATTTTGTAGAAATGGCCTTAGGGATGCTTTACAATCAGTTTACTTCAAAGACTGCTGGGTCAAGAGGACAGGGAAAAAGAAGGTCACTAGCCAGGGCTTTCCATTGTCATGGTGGGACCACTGGATCCAGAAGCTCTAAATAATCCTAAAAAATTCAGAGGCTTGTTCCCTTGAGAAGGACACATTTCTTATGGCTAGCTTTTCTAAGTCAGGAGCTAATAATACCTTCAACCTACTTGCCTTTTACAGATATGTGTGACACAGAGTATGGATAATTTCTGCTGAATTGAACCCATAATGAAGGAATTTATAATCAGTTCTAATGTATTTGAAACCCAAAGTATATTAGCCCTTCATCAAAGGGAATGATAAAAAGCAGCATTAATATGGGTGAATAGTAATTATTTCGGAGCTCATAATTATTCTGTTAACTACAGAGAAATGCTGATATTTTTCCTTCTTTTATAAAAAGTAAAAGGCTCTGTGGTCAGATTCTGAAATGTAGGAAAGCATCACACGTTCTTTATAAGGACCCATACTTTGAATTGTGCTCATGTTAATCAAAAAGGAACTATTTTGGAATTAAATGAGTTCAAAGTTCATGGTTAAGAATTCCCTTTACCTTGCTTAGTCCTGTTGTTTCACCACTGAATTTATTTATTGCCCGTAGGAGATATAAAGTATAGTAATTACTCTCACTCCCTTTCAGAATGACAGGAGGTCTACTTTCCTATTAACTCTAATGAGAGTTATGTGTGTGTTCCTCAGGGAGGACAGACCCAATAGAGTTTCAAGGTAGAATAAATCACTTCTACACACTGGCTTTAGTGGTCTCATTTGCTTTATATTTTGGTGCTTTGAGATATCCATTTAAACTGCTTCTATTGAAAATGCAGTATTTGTTGTTTAAAAGAAGCATAAGCTGTGGTTGGAATGTTGCTAATAACTGTAATTTCTGTTTGAAGGATAAATGTGTTACCCTTTGGGGCAATGATGTCGCTCGATTGACAGGAATACTCAGTTTCTAAAATGTGACTATGTACTTTTCATGAAAAATTAATGCCAATTACCTTTTACAATGTTTTCTTTCTATTTAAAATGTTTTAATGTCAGTGATGACATCATTTGTAACACTTTAGAATAAAGGGAAAGTGAGCCGGGGAGGCAGATGCCCTGGTAAAGAAGGGAGCCCAAGGCAGCGGTGGTGTTTTGTGTCTGGCACAGGAAGAGGGAATCTTGACATTATGTAGGAATCTGTTGTGGTAATCCACAAGCATATATTTACTCCACTGAGGCTTCCTCAGAGAAATCAATGTGGAGTTTCTCAGTTTGCAACCGTGAACTCTGTAGATATTTATTCTCAGTGCCTTTAGGTGTAGAGATAAAGGAAATCTGTTTTCTTTCTTCTTATAATCAGTTTTGCCAAAACTGTTACCAACCCTCTTTTTCCCAGGGAAACTTCAAAAATCAGACATGTAAAAAATTCTTGATGTTAAGAACACGAAGATATGCCAATTCACTAAAATATTGCTGTAATACATACCGTAGGAAAAACTTACTATCATCTAATAATAAGGTGTTTTTTAGTATCAATAAACCAAGTATATTGGGAGAACTAGGCTTAATCCTCCTCCAGGATAATCATATCCCCATGATGTTGAAGCAATGTTTATATTTGTTTCCAATTCTTCAGATTTATGACAATGAAAGACGTCCTATACAATGTTTGCATGCAATTATTATCTCACATCAGAGACACACAGTTTTCCACAATGAAAAAAGAAGTGAAGTCCCACATTCTGTTTTCGTTTCTACAATGAAAAAAGAATGTGGGACTTCACTTGTTTTTTTGTGGGCTGAGTATGTCAATTATGTGATACTTAAGGAAGGTAAAAACAACTAATGTAGCAAACGTAAAAAAAAAAAAAAAAAGAAACAAACTGGTCCATCAACCATGCATCCATGGGAAAACTATCTTTATATATACTGTCCATGACTTCTGTACGTATGCTCTCAACCAGCAACTGAGAACCGTGTTCCACATGCAAAGAAGTGGGAGATGATGTTTTGATAAGAGTTATCTTCTGTTGCAACTCATGTAGGTCCAAGAACTAGCAGTTCTAAATACATGTTAAGTACATAGAAAGCACTGACTCAATGGCTATATGAGCTGAATGATTCCCCGTAGAAATCATGTAAAGTGATTTGGGTACACTAGGAGGGGAAAGAAAGACAATTCCATCTGACTCGTTGAAGAGACAGATCTTATAAAGCTTTGAGCAAAGTGAAGACAGTGATTTAATTGTGATAGGTTTTACATGTGCCTCCAAATATTGGCAAACTAATGATTCAGGAAAAAAATTTTGAGCTCACATTAATGATTTCTTAATATAGCCAAGAATTAAGCAAATTAAGTAATTTAACTAAAATTAGAAAGTAGATAGTAGTTTTGGCAGCAATAAATGCCACTGCATTTAAATTGTGTTGCTAACCAGTAAATAAAACCATAATTTCTACATAGCAGCCTAGAAAATAGAAATGTGAAAAATATATATTTGTTGCAGTCTTTAGGAAATTACAGAAAAATTAAAAGCCTGAAAATATAATTTTTGAACTCTAATATTTTGAGGGGTGCTTTGAAATTGGAAATATTTTAAATATAATATTCTGATTCAGCATTTTTAAAGTTTAAATTAAAAAATATGTATCATTTTCAGAAACGTAGCTTTGTTGTTGCATGAATGTCAAATAATCCTAAGGGTGCCTTTTGCGTTTAAACAGGGTCATGTTAAAGAAACGTAGATTTCTGTGAACTTGCAACTGAGTGTTAATTAATGGAAATTATTGCATTATCTAGGTTTTCTCTTAATGGAATAATTCCTTGCAGGTGTGACTATCACTTAATTTATTGCTTACAGTTTCCCTGTCTGTGTTTGCAATGACCATGAAATAATGACCTTTCAATTGAGGTAGTCAATGGGTCCCTTCAATTACATCATCCATTTCTGCCTTTCCAACCTGTTGATCTTTGCCCAGTTATTACTGTTTTTCAAGGCTGTCTACCTGAACTGATGAAACATAACTGTATTATATCTTATTTTTTCCTTTCTGTTTTCTGGGATTGTGTTTTTCATTCTTTGGGGGTTATGATAGTAAATTTAGTTTAGCATTACAAATATAATAAATATTAATTTCTGAAAATACTTAGACATTTTTCTCAAAATGTTTAACAATCCTTGCCTATGAAGTGTTCTTAGACTTAATGCCTGCTTCTTTACTATTTATGTTATTGAAATCAGTACATGACTTTCAGTGTTTTTCACTCCTTTTTCTATGACTGTTATTTTCTGCATGACAAAATTCTCTTGCTTACTGCTATGTGATTGGCTGTCTTTTAACTTGAGTGTCCTGTGTTTGTAGTGATTGCTTTTTGCATGAGGATTATGAAATATCATACAAATTAAATGGTTGTGGAAACAAAAAAAGAATGCGGGACTTCACTTGCTTTTTCATGTGCTGAGTATGTCAATGATGTGACACTTAAAATTACTTTCATATGGCCTTTGATGTCCCCTTTGGTATGCTCTTTATTCTTGTAAATTAGCATCGTTAAATATAATAAAACACTTATTAAATATTCACAGTGTTTTAATACAATTATTCTCCTCAAACATGATCCTATTATAAATAACTATACTGAGCATGAAACTGCACTAAAGCATAATTCCATTATATTACGAAATTGATTATGAAATATAAGCCCTGACTCGGTAACTACCTCAATAGCTAAACACTGACTTCTACTGATCAAACTTTTGATCTGCCGAGTGATGAGACTATCTAGTGATACATTTGTGCAGCCTGCAAATGTCTTAAATTCACAAGTAATATTTAAATGAAAACACATGGGGAAGTATTTGTGTAATGACAAGTAATTTTAAAAAGTCACAGTTTTGAAAAATGTATGGATTAAAAATATGTAAAAACCAAATGTTAATGTTCTTACAAAAAAAAAAAAACAGAAGAAAATAGAAAAAGAACAACTTAAAATATTCATAGCTCAGCCTTCTCTAAGGTTATTTTATTGTCTCAAAGAATGATTTTGACCTACTCTTTCGTTGTTGCCACCAATTTAAATTAGAAAAGACACTAAATAAATTAAGTTCTTTTGGCTAGTAAAACTGTTTACTTTTTTGTTTGCAATGGGTATTAAGAAAAATCATTTTCTTTGCTCATGACTTGAGTATCAAGCCATAATGTACTTTTTTTATGCTGGATATATCCACAAACCAAATCTTCTATATTTTGGGAAAAGGGGTGTTTTTTTCTTAAAAAAAATAGGTAATCAATTATGATATGACCACTTTCCCACCCTTTTTGGAAATATCCTTGAGAATTTTAGTATTTATATTAATTTTTTCCCCCTCAGTCTTGTTTATTCTTGAATTGTCTTTTTTTTTCCCTCCATTTCTCCGTTCTCAACCCTAGGTCCCCTTACAAAGAAACAGACAGATGATTTAGGTGATAATGATGGTGCTGAAGATGAAGGTATTTTTTTCACCAAATCTATTTGCATGACAAGGGCCTCAATCACTTTTTCCACCCCTTTCTATTTTTTCACTTCTTGTCTTTTTTTGAAGAGTTGTTTTTAATTCCCGTTTTTGATGTGTTTTGTCTTCTTGCTTGTTGTTACATACAAATATAGAGTATTAATTTTTTTAATGAATGTTAAGTTTTACATTTTGATGCCAACCATTAAAATGTTTTAAAAAGAGGGGCATTTTTTTTTGTTTTCTTGAACTGACTTTTGATATGTTTCATCCCACATTTTGACTGAATTTTGTCCACCTTCTTTGAACTAACAATCTCTCCCTTGTAGTCTGTGCCCATTTTGCATGTTTTCTAATCTATGTAAATATTTTCCCAAATATTAAAATGTGTTTCATTTTTACATTTGATATTTGTTTTTTGAAAAACACATACCCAATAAAATGAAGGACAAGCTGAAAGCTAATATAAAGTGTTTCTTGAGCAATATATTTTAGATTAACAAAACACTGTTTTCTGTTGATTTACTTAAATGTCACATAAATGTAATTAAATTATATACATAAGAAAAGGCATTACAAGTATGTAGAAAACTATTCAACGTTATACAAACACATAAGTACTCTGGACTCATATAGTATTTTTGATAGAGTTTGTAGCTATTTTCTTAGACAAGGTTAAATGAATATTCTTTAATTTCAAAGAGACCTAATTTCCTGATTGTCAAATAAAATATTCTGATTTTCAAAGCATTGCAACTATAAGCAATAGAATATTTTCTACTTCATTAATATCAAAATTGCCTCCTTACAACTTTCATTTGACATGCAATTCTGATTTAGTCTGTAAACCTATGAACTCACTAGCTAGATTGTCTTGACATTTCTGATTTCACTGTACCTTTACATGGTATTAAAGTGAGCTCATCTTTTTTGGTTCCAATCAGGATTAAAGCTTTTTGTTTATTTTATTATATTTTGTAATCCTGGGTTTCAAATAATTGCCAGAAACCTAGAAATTAAATCTCATAGTGAAAATAACAATGTGGTAAGACAAGCTTTACAAAATAAAATAATCTACAACTAGCCCAGCACAAGTGTTTGGTCCATGAGTTACAAAGGAACTATGGATAAATAAATTTTTACTAAAAAATGTGCATTGTTTTCATTGACATATGTACACTTAATAAACTCCTTAACAACATAGAATTAAATTACAGAGGTGGAATATTGAGAGCTTAAAAATTATATTTGGTGTCAATATTTTTGAAATATTTAAGAATTATTTTGATTAAATGAAGCATATGACATTTGATTAAATATTCATTTACCACGAATCTCAGCAGTGGATTAAAGATTAAACACAAAGCAGTCATTAATATTTGAAATAAATCATTATTGCTGTCCAAGAGTTATTATTCTGAATGTTAAGTAGCTAAAAATAAACTTACAGATCAAGATACAAATTCTGATTTTTTAAAAATGCTATTCAAAATTTGATGCATTCAAACATTCAGGACATTTTTTTTTTTTTTTAACGTTGTAGAACATGAGTTACTGTTTCCAAAAGCTCTAAAGAAGACTACTTCCACTTTCAGGCTTTGGGACTTGTTGAACCCCTTGAAAATCCTTAACTCCTGGAATTCGTTATCTAAATAATACTGAACGCCTACAGGACTTCATGTGTATCTTTGTAAACATCAAATTTTCCCAACTTAGGCAAAGGGTTAAAATACATTACTTTCCTATTTTAAAAATATTTTGATTGCTGATTTAATGTGATATTTTTCCTTTTGTTAAAACTCATCAAGTAAGGCGTTTACCTATTGAGAGTAGATAAGTCTGAATGACCATAGCTAGGCCATGTAAACCTGAATCTATTTTATAGCGATGTTTTGAAGCACATTTAACATTTTAAGATAGTCATTTAAAATATCCTAAAGCCCTATTAAAATGTCAGGTAGTATTCAGGTTAAGTTCTAAACCATTCAGCCACAAGAGTTATCGAATCAATAAATATTTTTAAATACTCAAAAGCGTAGAATGTCAAAGCAGTCAATTCCAGTTTGGTCTCTTCCTCTGTGTTGTTTTGGATAATTGTTTTGAAGATGAGAAAGATGAATTCAGATATCCTACAGGGGAAAAGAAACCTTTTATAGAAATATCTGAGCATTTTTAACTCAATTTTCTAATTACTATTTTGTAGATGTGGCTGTGAATAAAAACTAGGCTCAATATTTACGTTGAATTTATTCCAAATATTGACTTAACATCACTGGACATAAAGCAACAAATATGAACGACTTCATAAGTACCTTCATTTACATCGGTCAGAAGTCAGGTCATCAGATCACTTACGTGAAATTCCCCGTTACTTCCCGGTTCCCCTTTACCTATGCTTGATTTCAGGTCCCAATCTCAGCCACTGAATTGTGAGGCCACCTGTCATATTGCCGGGGCTTGCCCTCCATTTACTTACTCTGATGGAAGCCTTCTTTATGGAGCACTATTCTTGACTTCTAATGCATATTTGTATCCCTGCTCTCCCTTTTTTGCCGTATTTGGTCAAACACAATTATATCATTTTTCATTTAAGTTTTATAGCAACCAAAATAATTGTACATTTTTTATTTTTATTTAACTAATTAATTAGTTAATTTTATTTTTTTGAAATGGAGTCTTGCTCTGTCTCCCAGGCTGGAGGGCAGTGACGCCAGTCTCGGCTCACTGCAGCCTCCGTCCCCGGGTTCAAGTGATTCTCCTGCCTCAGCCACCTGAGTAGTTGGAATTATAGGCACCTGTCACTATGCCTGGCTAATTTTTGTGTTTTTAGTACAGACGATGTTTCACCATGTTGGCCAGGCTAATCTCAAACTCCTGACTTCAGGTGATCCATTGGCCTCAGCCTTCCAAAGTGCTGGCATTACAGGCCTGAGACACCATGCCCAGCAGAATTGTATATCTTTAAGACAATTTCATAGTTAAAAACAAAACTAATCTGAAGTGCCAAAAATGGTTCGAAGTAACATTTCTACCAACTTATTTAAGAAATTTAAGAAGTATTTTTAAAAATTTTAATGGTGCTGAGAATACCTTCATATTAACTTTATAATATTTAGGTCAGGCATGGTGGCTCACACCTGTAATCCCAGCACTTTGGGAGGTCAAAGCAGGCAGATCACTTGAGGTCAGGAGTTTGAGACCAGCCTGTCCAACATGGTGAAACCTCATCTCTACTAAAAATAGAAAAAAAAAATTACTCTGGATGGTGGTGAGTGCTTATAATCCCAGCTACTTGGGAGGCTGAGGCATGAGAATCACTTGAACCTGGGAGGCGGAGGTTGCAGTGGGCCGAGATTGCACCACTGCACTCCAGCCTGGGCAACAGAGCGAGATTCTGTCTCAAATATATATATATTTCAATGCAATTTTATATCCTATATATTTTCTTTTAAGAAATTTTTTTGTAGATTTTGAGTATTTTTAAACTAAAAATACATCTTTGATTCTGTATGTCCAGTTTAATGAGCAGAAATTCAGCCAACATTTCTATATATTAATTCAATTATTCTGAATGATAACTTGAGGTTCATATAAATGAGTGGGAGGCACAAAAGTCTGCCTTGAAGTGTGTTTTTTATAACAGAGAAAGATTTAATTGAGGCAATACTTCACAATTTAAAAACTGTTAATCCTAAAAACTCTAAAATGTGGGCATTTAAATACTTCATGAATCCTTTAAGAAGAAGAAAAAACTGTAAACATATTTAATGATTATATCACTAATAATTATTCACTAGGATCATTAATGGAAACTGATTTCAAATCCTGGTTGTCAGACAGAAATAAATCCCCATTAACTGCTCGGAATCTATTGAAACTTGCTATCTTGGCTTATGATTTTGGTTTATTAGAAAAACAAAATAGGTACTAAAATTTTAAATCAAGGTGTTTACTAAGATTCCAAATATTTTTTTTTTAAACTTGAAGAACTTGATTTAAATGTTTGTGTTTACAAAGGCTTAAAACCATTGCAAATAACAGAAAATGTAAACATGCCTGACAAGCATTTGTACTTTTACAGGACTGAATTAGTATTTAAAAATATCTGAGAGGGTTCTTATAATTTTAGTAAAGTCAGTAGATGCTGTTTAGGCAAAGTAAAAATCTTAAGTGAAAATCCATAGTTCACAAACTCCACCATATTTATAGGTAGTTAAATATGTAACAAGGTTTAAAGAGACAACTTGGCTCTAAAAAATTAATTATAAATTAATAAGCTGCATTTGATATATTTTCACAGGAGATAAATGCCCCCCTCAACATTATTATTAAAATGATGGAATTAGCAGATGGTATTCAATGGTAGGCTATCTGATATATTCGTTTTATTTATAAAGAATCTGGTTCTTTCTAAAAACAAAGAAATAGTTATAATTGAAACTCTTTATATTTGCTATTTACATTTTTTAAAACCTTATAAACTAAGCATAAAAGCTAAGTGTAAGATAAAAATTTATAATTAAACATTATAAAAAGTAAAGCCTGGCCAGGCGTGGTGGCTCGCTCCTGTAATCTCAACACTTTGGAAGGCCAAGGAGGGCAGATCACCTGAGGTCAGGAGTTCAAGACCAGCCTGGCCAATATAGTGAAACCCCATCTCTACTAAAAATACAAAATTAGCCCAGCATGGTGGTGTGTGCCTGTAATCCCAGCTACTAGGGAGGCTGAGGAAAGAGAATCACTTGAACACAGGAGGTGGAGGTTGCAGTGAACTGAGATCATGCCACTGCACTCCATCCTGGGTGACAAGAGCAAAACTCTGTCTGAAAAATAAAAATAAAATTAAAATAAAGCCTAAGATGGACCACTCTGACAACGCACTATTAAAGACTTCCAATTTTTTCTGTAACAAAAATTGTCTAAAGTTTCTATAGTTTCTCAAACTTTATTAGCAATATTAAGGTTTGTTATGTCCAAGAATTTTACCTGTTTCAGTAAGTACCGAAATTACTTCTGCACTAACCTAATAATCCTTTTTATAACATAAATCTCAGGGTTACTTCAAGTGAAAAATATTTTCTCAGAACACAGCATAAGAATCCTAGAGAACTTTATGGAAAAGAAATCAATGTATTAAGTTATTAGACAAGGCTTAAATTTGAAAATTTTGAAAAGGGAAATTAAAAATTAAGATTAATTCAAATGAACAGTAATCCTTTAAAGTCTAATTTTCAAAGAAAAATAAATAGATACCACTCAAATAGCTTCTAGAATCTGTTGTCATATTTTCAGTGTTTTCTGACAATGTCCACTTAATTCTGTTGTTAAATATAAAACGTGGCAGGTCTTCTCAATGTGTGCCTGTATTGTTTTCCAGGTGAACAGAATGGTTCTACCAAGATTTCATTACTGTTCACAGTTGGTGCTTTGTAATTCTATGTAATTTTAATTAAAGAAGAATTCTGAAACAGCCTCCCTCTGTGCTACCTCCAAGCATACAATTAGCAGAGTACAGTGTCTGCTGTGAACAGTCAGTTAATGATTTCAGTTTAATAATTTATTATTGCTTCTTCAGTGCCAGCCACACTAGAAAAATAAGAAGCTGAAACTGTATGTAGCAAACAGGCATTTAAGGTGCATAGTTTAACAATTTCAAAAGGATTACTTTCTCTGTGTAAATCTAAAATCTCCACAAGCCCCCAAATCTTTATAAATGAACAAATACTATTTTTTTTCCCAAGGTTTGAAGGAGAAAATAAATTTAGATTTTTTTCCTCTTAAATGTGTCTATGTTTAGTGAAGGGTTCCTATGTCAAAGTATCCTTCCCTCACTACTTAAAAACGGACATTCTTCTCAAATACACCTTTGGGGGACTAGAAGGAAACTAGTAAGTTTATACACTGGTATTAAGTCAAATTTAAAATATATTTTTTAAAAAGTCTGTAAGTTCTGCAATGACCCATTTCCCCAACTCAAAAATCTGGTCAACCAAGCTGAGCTGCAATTCTTGATACTAAGTGATGCTAAAATGATTCTTCATTGGAAATCAAGGCATTTACATTTCACATTCTTTTTACAAAAAATGCAAAGCAATCTCTAAGTAATCACCACTTCTTTCAATAAATTTGTATGCTATTAGTCCATTCTGAAAACTGACACCTCAATAATTAGCATGTAGGAGAATTAAATTTGATAAAAATGTCAAAAGCAAAGGAACAAAACCATATTATTAAATTATACTTTTTAATTTTGACATAAAAAGGTAATGCATTTGGTATAAGTTTTTAAGTTGTGGGCATAAGAGATCATGGGCTACTATATAATAGTAATGTTTTCTTTCCGTATATATTCAGAGCCATATATATATGCATACATATAATATTTCAAATATTTCAATCTATATAATATGTAGATGAAACTGTTTTTGCTGATACACAGTTTGGCTTATCTACAGAAATCAGTGCATTTTTCACACTGATTAAACTTACCTATGTTTCCTTTATATATTATTTCTAGATCCTTATAAAAAATTACATCATCGAGGAAAAGTATGAGAAAGGAAAACATATTTAATGAAATTCAGAGCTGTAGAAATCACTTTAACCATAAATTTTGACACTTTACACTTGAACTTAACTCTATTCCATCTCATGTCTGCATGATAAAACATAGAGCCAAAATGGGAAGAAGAAGGGTATATTAGCTACACAAAGAAGTGAAAAAGTATTTGTCTGTTCTCTTCTTCCAAAGGGTACGGGGAGCTGTAAATAGTGGATGTCCTAAATTTTCTAAAAAAATATTATTCAAATGACATTTCCCTAAATGCAACAAGAGGAGCACAGATGTACATGACTTTACTGCCTAAACATTCATTTGACATTACTTAGGTAGTTAAATGAAACATCTTGCATAACACAAGACTGTAATTATATTCACAAATTGGAGCATAAATGACTTGATGTAATCATGTTGTATTTGATACAAAGCTTTACAGTACCTAAGAAAGGTTGAACAGATTGTTTTACTCACAATAGCAACAATGCCATTGTCTTTAGTTTATTGTTCATAAATGTCATGTGAGGTCTATAACATTTTAAATAAGTGGTCCTGAGAATCATTGCCACTCTATTTCTCTTTATTTTACTGTCACTTAAGGAGTTAATCAAAATGCACTAAAATTCACATCTAATTTTAATTTGTCTAAGTTTCATAAGTCAGTTTACAACTTGTAAATAAAATTTTGATAGAAAACAATGGATGCCTATTGCTCATTTCCACAATAGCTTTTCATATGAGTTGCTTAAGAAACACTTTAATAAAAACAGCAGTTTAAGAACCATATTGGAATTATGCCCTCTTTTCTCTAAAATGGAAAATGTATGCTGTGCTTCACTGTGTATTATTTTTGAAGATAAGAACGATTGCCAAACATTTGTTTTCCAGATATTCGGGACAGTGGGGGTCCCAAACCAGTGATGGTGTATATCCATGGTGGCTCATATATGGAAGGTACTGGAAATTTATATGATGGGAGTGTCTTGGCAAGTTATGGCAATGTGATCGTCATCACAGTCAACTATCGACTTGGGGTACTTGGTAAGAAGTCTCTTTCATTTTCACCATGAATCCATGAAGTGTGTGATAGTTTTGCTTTGACTTGTTTTGTTCTGCTTTGCTTTGTTTCACCCATTTTTTAAAATGCTTGTTGACTTTTTTGAACCCAATTTTTTTTATAGCTTCAATGAATTCTATAGGTTGGTTTTAAGATGTAAAACTAAACGGTAATGAAAGTATTCATGTTGTCATGGTATGCACTTCCTGGTTTATAAAACTAGGAGAGGCAGAATGGTAGGGCCTTATTAAAGAGGAGTTTATCTTTGAACAAATATTTCCTTCTTCTGCTTTTCTGTTTACAATGCTCTAAGATTGTCTGAAGTTTGCCATGAGCTAAGATATAAGTTTACATTCTCTTCTAGAGTATGTATAGGGACTGGCTTTTGGGAATGATTGTTTGGCATTTTGATGGAGGTTTCTTTGGTTTGTTGTTGTTATTTTGGTTCCATAATAATGAATAATATTTTATGAATGTATTCTGATCAAATTATTTAACTTGAAAAACATTGATTTCATAAAGTAACAAAGAGTTCAGTTCAATAATGTATACTCTTGCCAAAAGAATGATAACATAAAGTCAAGTTGGAGATTTCTAGCTTTGGTAAAAAGTATAGAGAAATATTATTTGTAAAATAACTTAGATTCTCTAAGATAGACATGTTATCTTATGTGATAACCAGTTTTTAAGAAATAAACTTGCAGCCAGGCGCAGTGGCTCACGCCTGTAATCACAACATTTTGAGAGGCCGAGGCGGGCAGATCATGAGGTCAGGCATTTGAGACCAGCCTGGCCAACACTGTGAAACCCTGTCCTACTAAAAATACAAAACTGCCCGGCGTGGTGGTGCGTGCTTGCTATCTCAGCTACTTGGGAGGCTGAGGCAAGAGAATCGCTTGAACCCAGGAGGCAGAGGTTGCAGTGAACCAAGATTGTACCACTGCACTCCAGCCTGAGCGGCAGAATGAGACTCCATCTCAAAACAAAAAAAGAAAGAAATGAACTTGCCATTCTAGTATACGTTTATTTGTTATAGTATTACCACACTTTAAGGAGTAAAGTTACTGTATGATTTAATAAAACTTCTTTATCTGTAGTATACTTAATTAACAGAATTTGCTAAAAGAGCACAATGCAGCCACAAAATATTTAACTTTTTAATCTCAATTGTTCTCCAATCTTATCCCATACTACTATACACTTAAATAGTATAAATTATAAATTTGTTTATACACAACAAATCACCTGACCCTTTCATTTTATCATCTAAAATATTTTGAAAAAAAGGAATTTGAATAATATTCCGTTTTATAATAATTGGTAGTATCATATAGTTTATCCATGTTGAGAATCAGAATTATTCCTCTTGAGTGTTATCCTCCTATGTAATCATAATTCTGTTTATGCTTATGAAAAAATATTTTAAAATGTAGAATAATTTTTGTGAATCAAGTTTATAGTCTGAGGGAAGGTGACATTTTACCAATGCGAAGGTTAAGTTTCAGTCATTTTCTCGTTTTCTTTTTGGAAAATTTGGAGTGTGGTGGATGACGATAGATGCGCTTCGTCAATGTAGGTATAACCTATTTCTGTAGCATCGATCAAGTACACATTAGTTCCTCTAATCATCCATTGTTTCAAATGTTCATATGATTTCTGTGGGTTGGGATAAGTGTCTTTCCACCAATGAAAACTCTGTGTATTCGAAGACACACAAATAATTGCTCATCATAATTCTTGAATCTTAAATCTTGAATTCTTAAATCTTAATGTTGTCATTTGTTTCCTATGGAACAATGTGAAGGACGGTTTTTAATATTTTAATGCATTGAATTTTTAATTGTCGTATTGTTCAGAGCTCAGCTGTTTTTGTTGATTATTATTTTTATATTTTTCTAATTTCTCAAGTTGAAAATTCTGAGCAGTGGCCAGTTTGCCAAATCAAAATTTAGGCTGAAATGCTAAATTATTGTAACAGTGTTTTTAAGGACTTGAACATCCAGTTAGTCATATATATTTATTCTATTTTAAAAATGCTTTGGCCACAACTTTTTTTTTGCCTCTTTCTGTTATTGGTTGTATTTATATAAAGCAAGATTTCATAAAATGAACTTTGTTGTTATGTTAATATAAACTTTACCTGTTCTTTTTCTTTTTATGTATTCAGAACTGATAAGGACTTGACTTTGACCCATTTTAGACCTATATTCATGCCCATACTCAATTTTAATGCCTCACTGTGAAGGATTGGATTGCAAGGCAATGGATTAACTGGCTAAAATATAAAGAACTCAATCAATCACTTGGTTTAGATAGTAGCAGACAGCCGACAGTGTTGATGTTATTGAATTATGATTTCCCAGTGTTAAATATTTGTTCTGGCTCTACTGTACCCCAGGATGTAACATTTAGTTATCTCTTTTATTTCTCTTAAACACATTATACACTGATAATAAGCCAAAGACTGTCCTTGATAGGCCTCCTCTCAACATGACAAAGTATAAACTCTGTGAAACATTTTTTAGGTAGACATTAAGACGTTAGCTCTAGAACCGACGTATTCTGGTCACGTTTTGCTAAAAATATGTGTTGAGTATTGTAAAAATGTTTTTAGATAAATTCATAAGAAAGAGAGTATCAGAACATTTGTTTCAGCATACTTTGCATGAGTGGTGCACCACAGCAAGATCAACAGCTCAGCTGGCAGGAGAGCTGCAACAATAAAGACTGTAGGCTTTTGAGATTGATGTTGTGAATAATTTGTCTAACAAGTAACAAGGTAAGCCAAGGTTTCTTGGGTGTGGGATCCAAGACTATTGCTATCTAATTTGCACTTGAGTGTTGGAAATTAAGTAGGAAATAAGACATGATACCACATCAGAGGAAATCCTGAGCTGTGTTTTCATTCGGACATTTTGGTGTAAAAGAAATAGATTTAGGGGTCGAGTGGACAGTTGGGTAATTACAAGATCATTGCTTTGAGACGACTGGCTGGAACAGTCAGGATGTTTGGAACAGGTAGTGCAGTTTGCGTTGATTTGAACTCACCAAGCGGTGATGTGGGGAATCGTATTACAAGTTTTGTTTTTTGCTCTTTGTTTTTAGTGGTGAGTAGAGATGTGATAATGTTTCAGTTAGAAAATTCATACAGCTATCTAGCAGCCAATTTTTCAGTTTAAAGTTTCCATGTTAAAAAATTTGTTTGTTACAAAGTAGAAATGGAATAGAAGAAAAAAAAATCTCCACCATTCCTCAGAAGCAGCTACTAACAGGGCAGAATCAGTTCTTCTACCAACACCATTTATGATTTCCTTTGGAGCGGTAACATAGAATATCACTCTTACTGTGTTGTATATGATTTACCCCCACCCTGGAAATGCTATTGAAGATGATGGGAAATATTGCCGATAAGATTGACAAAGAAGGAAGGGAATGCAGGACTAACCTCACTCCCCAGTTTCGTGTTAGAGCTCCTGGTGACCTCCTACCGCTTAGTCTCACATTTCTTATACACTGTTTAACTTTTCTTTCACTTTTGACTATATGCCTTCTTCTTCCTCAGCCAGTTTTGACATAAGCTTTCCATATTTGCTTTCTTCAGCTTCTATTACTTAATAACATTGTTACATAGTCCTTAAATATGTTTAAAATTATTGTTAGTAGGGTATTTTTCTAAAACATTCTAATGTATGGCTTATAATCATCTTAGAAATGTAGGGAGAAATGGCCGGGCGTGGTGGCTCATGCCTGTAATCCTAGCACTTTGGGAGGCTGAGGGGGGTGGATGGCCTCCTCGGAGGGTGGATAGAGGTCAGGAGTTCAAGACCAGACTGGCCAAATAGCGAAACCTCGTCCCTACTAAAAATCCAAAAATTAACTGGGCGTGGTGGTGGGTGCCTGTAATCCTAGATGCTCTGGAATCATCACTTGAACCTGAGAGGCTGAGACTGCAGTGAGCCAAGATCGTGTCAGTGCGCTCCAGCCTGGGTGACAAGAGTGAAACTTTATCTCAAAAAAAAAAAAAAAAAAAAAAACAAAGAAAGACAAAAATGCAGGGAGAGATATTTGATGTGTTCTTAAAGAAGGGAAATAATCAAAATTAAATGCTCTGATTATAACTAGAGTAAACATGTTTTTATGAGCAAGAATTGAAAAAGAGTATAAAATCACTGTTAGATGAGATGTGCACTAAATATGTTTCAAAATAGAATTATTTAAATAATATTGACAAATCTCAAAAATGAAAAATATGTTAAGTAATTTATCATTAAAATGTTTCAACCACTTATTTAAATTTAGAATAAATCTATAAATTACTTTTGAAGTAAAAGAAAAATGTTAATGCCCCTGTGAGGATCTAACTTGGGCAAACAAGATTTTAATTTGGTGGAAATTTAGTCATTTACTTTTATCTTGACATAAATATCTTGGAGGCAATCGTGCAATTCACAATTCTAGCCCATGTGATTCATTTTAGAAAAAAAGTTTTAAATGTTTTAGAAGTACTGATATCTATCTGGGAATTTGCCCATTTTTGGAAAAGCATCTAATTAAATATTTTACTTAGTAACTGAATGTTTACAGCACCCATGCATGGAAAAAAAAATTTAAAGTGCTAGCTCATCTATTTGTATTTAAACAATTGCATTTAGTTTACTTTATAATTCTATGTGGCACTAAATTATTTAAAACAAACTTTTGTTAACTTCATATGCATTTTAATGAACACCTTCACATTTTTATTCTATTAGATATGGTTAATGAAATTTTTGATTCTTAAAATTAGACTGTCTATGCAATAATAATGCTTCAAGTATTATTAGATAAATAGCAACAATAATTATAACTATAGGCCAGGTGTGGTGGTGCATGCCTATAGTCTCAGCACTTTGGAAGACTAAGGCAATAGGATCACTTGAGCCTAAGAGTTCAAGACCAGTCTGGGCAAAATGGCAAGATCATGTCTCTACAAAAAAAATTCAAA